CTTTCAGTAAAGTTGCATATTTTAAGATTATTTTTATACTAGATTTTTATATTTTTCGTTCAAAAATGCTTTATTTGTAATTTTGTTAACCTGCAAAAATACGAAAGTCCGTCGGGTGTAACTAACTACCGGTGGGAAAGTCCGAACCCGTAAATGGAAGGCATTTTGATGATCGTGAAAAGGATCGTGAAAGATCTGTTTCCGCTTATTTGTTATTGCAAAAAAGCTCGAATCTTTCTTTAAACAAGTGATTATTTATGCTTGTAATCGGTATATCAACATATTAGATTTACATGGCTTATTCCGCTTCCTTTTTGTTTGTGAATAGGGCTATATTGGTTCAATGCCATTGGATTTGATTTTTTTATAATACCACACCGACTAGTGTTCTTATTACAATACAATGGTGTCTGTCCGTCCTGGATAAGTTTTATTTGTTTGAAAAGTTAAGATTGTCTCATCTGCTTCCCATTAATTTTTATGCATAGTCATATCTATAAAACGAAGATCCTTGTTGATTTTTTGTAAAAATAGGGAAAAAACATGGTTTAAAACAAAACAACAGAAAAACAACTGTCATATTCCTGACTTGGCACAGGGATTTTTCCTAAGCAAATGGTGGATTAAATCTGGGTTACTTGCTTGCTTATACGCCCACTTGTAGGACAGTTGTTTAATGTTCCGTAATATTGCCAAATTAGGGGAGCAACACAAACAGATATAATTGGTTTACGTGGTCATATTTGGCATCCAGCAGCATACATCACAGACATACAACACAACTTAATTTAACGTTCAATAGATATAAGAAGATGTGGTATGAGTGCCAATGAGACAACTCTCCATCCAAGTCACAATTTGTAAAAGTAAACCATTACAGTTCAAAGTACGGCCTTCAACACAGAGCCTTGGCTCACACCGAACAAACACACTTACAAACGAATCAAACAAATACGCCAGCCAAACAAAGATTATGTAGTTGATAATACAGCCAATATAGTAAAGCATAATTAAGGAGCCCCTTGAGTGTCATGTAAATATAAATATGTTCGTTTGCCGGATATTTATTCTTGCACGCACCAGTTTGAAAACTCGTGCGCACGACTTTCGAACTTGCGTGTGCATGACTTTCAAACTGGCCCGCATGACTTTCAAACACGTGCTCACGACTTTCAAAAATGGTGTTCACGACCTTCAAGATCTGGTGCGCATGACTTTGAAACTGGAGCGCATAACTTCTAAACTGTAGCGTATGACTATCAAAATGGTGCGCATGACTTTCAAACTGGCGCGCAGGACTTTCAAGAACTGGCGCACACGACTTTCAAACTTGTTCGCATGACTGTCAAACTTGTGTGCATGACTTTCAAACTGGTTTGCATGACTTTCAAACTGGCGTGCTCGACTTTCAAATTGGTGCACACGACTTTCAAACTCGTGTGCACCAGTTTAAAAGTCGAGCGCACCAGTTTTCAGATGTGTCCTTATCGCATCTCTGGACCAACCCACATAAAGAACGATAAACGTCAAAAATCTGAAAGCTGGATGCACATATACCGAACCACGACAAGAGGCATACGATCAAATGGAACTTAATACTATAGTAGTACAAAGACAAATAAAGATAAAACTGTAAAGTAGATAAAATGCTACACAGCGTCAACACCTTAAACCCTGGTTCATTAATTGTTTGCGAAGGCACTGATAACGTTTTACAAACTCGATCTGAGTATCAGCTGCAATCTCTTGAAAATCGTATGAGTTCAGAAATGTATACTTCATAGGCGGATGAACTTGGTAAATCGTTGCTAAGGTGAGGAAATTTTATGATTTCAAAATTGAAATCATCTTGTTTGTCATAGATTCTGGTATTAAAAGATGACCGCTGTAGTCAAATCGGGGTATGTGTCTAAAAATGATGCAGAGGAAGCTGTGTATATGGTGTCTATAATATCTAGTTCATGACTATTAATGGGTCCAAATGAGAAAAGTTCGTATTGTTAATGGAAAGAACATCTTCAATACACCTGTATGTAAAATTAAATGATGTGATATGATAGCCAATGAGACAACTCTGCACAAGAGACCAAAATGACACAGAATTTAACAACTACAGATCATCGTACGGCCTTCAGCAATGAGTAAAACCCATACAGCTATAAAAGGCCACGAAATTACATATGTAAAACAATTCAAAGGAGAAAACAAACGGCCTGATTTATGTAAATTGAACGAAAAACAAATAAGATATACACCAACAAACGACAACCACTGAATTACAGACTCCTGACCTGGAACAGGCACCTACATAATGTGGCGGGGTTAAACATGTTAGCGACCCTCTTTCTTACCTGGGACAGTGGTGTAACAGAACCGCAATTGAACTAACTATAAAATTGTTGAAAATGGTCTTACTCATCAGATCGATACAAGGCAGAAACAAGTAACAGAAACACAGAGTGAACTTATACATCTCCATTATCCTTTCCAAAACAAAAACTCACATATTAAGATATTTTCGGGGAAAGACCACCAGACCCCCTCTCGCTTCCCTCATGTGTGAATTCATTACGCATTATGTATACACAATATTTACCTTTCGGCCATTTACGCTGCTGGCGGTCTTATCATCTTGGATGTCTAGTTACGCGTAGCATTGCCTCATAAATGAAAATAGGTCTAAATATGGGTAAAAATATATATATCACCAACAAAAATTAAAGCAATAAATTACGTTCTTAGAAAGTAATTACACACTTCAACCAATTACGAGTATATCAATTGGTAAAACAAATGCTGTTTTCTGAGTCATTAAGTCTGGTCACGCCTTGTCTTTCACGATCCAAATAATGCGTTGAATGATCTTTCACGATCAATTTTGATAAAAAAAACAACAAAAATAGACTTTTTCAAAAATAATATGAACTTTTTCAAGTAATAACATAAATATATTTTACTGGACTATCTGACATATACAGATTAAGTTTCAAATATATCATGATATATTGGAATGTGACTATTATAGTTACAAAATGTAATATTTTTCTAAATGATTTTCATAGGATTGCGTGTCGCCTTTTGTGTTTTCTTAAAGAGTACTGCATTTTTTCATTTATTAAGTGCACAGTTTTATTAAGGACGTTGAATCATTTTGACAGACATAATTTTTGTTCTAATTTGTTCCACCTTTTGAAACTACAGCAGATTGTTTCTTAGATTTTGAAGTAGAACTACACTTAATTGCATTCACGATCCGATACCAGATCTTTCACGATCTGATCGCAATGCTTGACCACCGTTAGTTATTCTTTCACGATCAATTCTCTCAATAAACCGAAAGACACCTGTGTCTGTAAGCAAAGGAGAAAATTGGAGGGCAATTCATAAAACTTTAAGCTTTATAAACAATGCGTTAGTACAAAGCTGGATCCCAAATACACATACAACAAATTCTTGCTATTAGGTCTCACTTCCACAATAAATCTCTATATTTGTGAAAACATTTATTAAAAGTTTTGAACAATTTATGATATCTTTTTTTTATAGCACTAAGGGTGTGCTTATTATCGCATTTGGATTTTTTAAGTGACAGGATGTTAAACTTTGTCATTTTGTGAAATTATGCAAGCAGAGTACATGTACAGACTTTAACCTGTTTACGCATGTTACGCTTACTACAGTTTTCAAATTAGAGGGTTATTTTTTTATTTTGTAGAGGTTTTATTCACATCAACGGTGTGCATATAATACGAATTTCCAATCAAAACGGACACAATCACGGAAAAAGACCCGACAAACAACAATAGCATAACAACACACAGAAAACTAAAGATTGAGCAGTACGAACCCACATAAAACACCGGGAGTGAATTCGGGAGCACAGTGAGGGTCAGTCGTGCCGCTTCCTCTGATGATATCCCTCGTGTTGCACATGTATTCTCTTGTTAAAATATATCGATGTGTCCTATCCAGTGATAAACCAAATAACAAAAGCGGATTGATAAAAGTATCTTGCCAAAGTCGAAAACATCCTCAAATTGAAAAAAAAATCAACAAAATAAAAAAAAACAAAAAACATCGGTACCTTTTAAATTCTCTAGCGAATGTAAAAGTTTGAAATGAAAACATGATATTCCTGGACGAATAATTAACGAGATTTAAAGACAACGCAGACATTGGAGAATGAAACAGCACAAGCTAGAACAGTGAAAATAAAAGCAAATGCAAAACGAAGACCTTTATAACAAAACTATACACCATGTTTTCAGTTTTGTATCTAATCATATTTGCTAGATCTAATAATATTGGCGAAATCAAAACCATAATAAATAGAATTGTTATACACATATGCTCATTAACGGTACGTACTACAATCTTTCGATATCTTCATTTTGGCATTGCACAAGGTCATGTTTTTCCCGGACTGTTATTGACGTCTTTATCGTAAACCCATTGGATGTCGGATGTGTACTGATTGATATTTTAGTCTTAGATACATGCTTTTTTGTATTAGTTGTTATTGGTTCAGAACAAGCTTTCAGTTACTGCGATTACTCTCAGATCTGTACTTGGTGTCTTTTTATGGGGGTCAGGGATGGATAAACACCCTGCCACGTTCGGTCTGTGTTTTTGTTTGATGTTTTCCTGCTTTGTATCGATGTGATGAGTTAAGCCTTTTTAAACTGATTTTTATAGTTTATATATGTTGTACCGTTTAAACCCCAGGTTAGGGGAGGGTTAAGCGCTCACAAACATGTTTAACCACGCCCATTCTACATGTGCCTAGTCCAAGCCAGGAGCCTTTAGTTCAGTGGTTGTCCTTGGTTCATGTCTGTCATTTTCGTTTTTCGTAAATTGTTTTGTTATAAATTAGGCCGTTAGTTTTATTAATTGAATTGTTTCATATTTTGCATGTGATATTTTATATAAAAAACACAAAAACACACATTTCTCCCTTCAATTAAATTAACCATTTCAATAAATGAATATTCTCTGAAATAAAATTGTATTGTTTAATTAGGGTTAAATACCGCTCTCTACCCCTTACAGTAGGAAGTATATGAAGGTAAGCATATGCAATTGATGAAAAGATTAATTGATTGTTGATTGCTTAATATTTGACGGAAAGAACTGTAGGGCATATGTCAATGCGGTAACAACCAATCGACATTAAAAACTAGTAAACAACCAGATGTCATAACAAAGCTAGGTGTCAGATTCGAAATCCTACAGAGTAAAAAAGTTTGTGAATAAATTAAAGTTATGATAGGGTATCAAAGATCTACCAACAACATCAAGTTTGATGAATGAATAAACAGTCATTTCAACTTTTCTGTTTATCGGCTTTCTGTTATGGTAAACGTCAATATGTTCAAAATGGTTAAAAGGTTTCCACATCTAACAACACCAAAATCAAGTGTATGAATAAATATTAATTTCGCTTTTACCGGGGAAAGGGACCAAGGCTTTACTACCACTAAATGTCCAAAGATTTCCACATCTATCAATTGCAAGATCTAAAAGGATTGTAGTTGCATTATGCGCATTTGGTGGTAAAATATCTCCTATGTAATGTCCATACGGAGTAAACAAACATATTCTTTGGTTTCCGTGAGCTCTGTCAGCGACAAACACATTGCCTCGCTGATCTTCGCAAACCAGCCAGAAGTAAGAATTTTCATCCTGGAATAATTGCTCTAATTTTCCAGAAAATGTAAATGCATAAAGTGATTTTTCTGTGCAGATTAAAATTCTGGAAACCGTTGTCACACGCATGCAAGATATAGACTCCAAACCATTAAAATTTTGCGCTAACAACTTGCTGCCAAAAGTGTTAATGACTCTACCGTTATTGTCGGTTTCATAAAAAGTACCCTTCGGTTGATTCAGCAGCAACACTGTATCATTATCAACTGTACAAGCATGTGTAAATGTAACTTTAACATCTAATTTTTCAATTTGTTTTGAAATTTGGCTTAATCTGAAAAGACATAATGTATTTTTTTCTGTAAGGTAGAAGTAAACGTTGTTCTGTGTATGTCCAACTGGGTTCACATGACACTTTCCACACTGGATGAAAACAAAGTCTTTGTACGAACCATCCGCACTTATAATTTTCAACTGATTGCCTACTAATACCAACACTGCATCTGTATTGTAAGTGCAGACAACTGAGTCGACACGAAAATCAAGATTGAATGATTTTCTTTTTGCAAAGGCGTTTTCGTTGTCAACTAGATGTGACGACGGTTTCTGTTTAACGGCTATAAACGAATTTGTCATAGGTCTTTGTTCCCTTTCAATTTGTCCTACTGCCTCATAAAGCTGATTTAATTTAATTGACCCAGGCTTTAGCAGGGGTTCGAAAATGTCAGGCATTGTTATACCATAATTATGTTCATAGTGGCATAAGCGTGTTTCAAGTTCTGGAAAAGATTTTATCAAATCGCTTTTGTCTCCAAACTCCAACAAATTTTCGGTCGCATACAGGAGCCCATCGATCGTCTTCTTAGATCTGTTCACGTCCTTTCTGTACGATTCTAAAACAGCCTTGTCTGTGTGTGCCAAGCTATCTAGTTTGCAGATATTTTCATCTGTAATTTCATCAATTTTTCTGCAAACGTCCAATTTCAGACGTTCTGATAAGTCTTTAATTTCTACTCGTGTGTTCTTTATATGATTATTATATTTCTTTTCCTCGTGTGCAGCCTCGTTTAAGAGTGATTGGAGAAGGGGTAAACGTGATTTTAAACCTCTTAACGCTACACTTAAGGATGTTCGTGCTTTTGCAACAGTCGTTTGAAATGGTTCAGTTTTATGTCCTTTATGTATACCTAACATGCAAATAGAACAAACGGGTTTTGAGCACGATTTACAGAATTCCTCTATCGGACGACAGTATGTATAATGCTCTTGACACATTTTCTCAACGGTGGCAACTTGCATACATGCATCGTCCTTCGAAACGGTCCCGTTTCCCTGTGTGTCTATAAGGACTACGGTATGACCTTTGAACTTGTTATGCTTTTTATGGTAATCATGACACTCTTTGCACATAAGTTCTTGACAATCTTCACATTCAGAAGAGACCACACCTGTGTTATCGCACATTTGACACTGTATTCTAGATTGATCATTTTCCGAACGATAAGAAAATTTATAGTCATCTAGTCCATCGATTCCCTCCCTATTAAGAGAAGTTAAGCTTTCACATAACGGACATGCTATTCGATATTTCGGGAGACAGAACGATTGCTTGTCTAAGCAACGACGACAGAACACATGGAAGCATTTTAATACTTTCGGATTATACAATTTCGATTCACATATTCCACAAGAATATATACTTGGAGTAAAAGTTGAACCCTCAGCCATTGCTGTTGGTTATGAAATTTAATCAAAATTAAATTATCAATACTGATTTTAACAAAACTAAACTTGTTACTTAATTTATTGTTTTCACTACAAAGCAGTATTGATTACTGTGTGCATGTTCCGATTAATAATCAATAATAAAGCCAATTTATAAGCTTGAGTAGTAGCTTTTAAAAATTATTAAATGATCCGATAGTTCCATAAAATATAAGCATTCTAACTGTAACGTACCAATTCCTCTTTCCAACTTTTTTATATTTGTTTATATAAGCTGTGATAAAATCTGATATAACATGTTAAAAGTATAAGCGTTTGACTTGGTAGTGAAATAGAAAAGGATTTTATGTTTCATTTCTCAAGATGGCGGTTTGTTTCTTGCATTTTGAAAAATAAATTCATACCCATATTTAACCCACTCTCTTATTACAATTTTTAAAATTGTCCCACCATTCACCCCGATCGATGAGCTTTTCATATTCTACATTGTATTTAATTGTACTCATCCTGATGTACCGGACATTTATTTCTCTTTTTTTTTCTCACATTATGTATGAACGACTAATATGATGTACGCATGACTGTTTAGCGTCCAGTGGCAAATAAGATGCATATTCTGGACGAGAACCTGCTTCAGCTGTGTACAAGACAAACACGCTGAGCCATATTTTTAAATCACGTGCTTGTTGACACAGTAATAGTCCATAAGAAGACATGTCACTCTGCCTAGGCACGAAATTCTGACTCATTGCCGACCAGTTTGTGCTTTAATTTCTTAATGCCGCGTGCTTAGCGAAGAAGCAAACAATACTAATTTTAACTACAGGCTTTGGTTTGGCTCGGCCAGAATCGAAATAAATGCTTTTGTGAATATGAACATTATTTTATTAAGTGACTTACATATACAATAAACACTGAAACTATAGTCACATGATTGCGGTACAATGTAAAATCAATATAAAGTTGAAAGTTTGACTTCAGTGATTTAATTATCAATATCGCGAAATTTGTCAATACATATATCATATAACGTTTATTATTTTTTTTAGATACGGAGGGCATGTAAATTTAAAGTATAAGTAGAGCCAACCCATCAAACAGTAATATAGAATATTGGTTATGTTGTCCCTTTAATCATTGAGTTTACACCGGGAGCAATGGCAAAATACACAAGACTAATAGTAGGGCTGAGGAACGTCCGTCTGAAACCCATAGATACTCAGATACCGTTTGATAAAATTTTCATACTTAGTCGGAATATTTGTCATTATAATTACTTGACTTTCATATATCGTCAGTTTGATTCGACTATTCTTACGATAGTTATGAAACTTTGTCCATTTTGTTTGTTTTTTTTTTGTATTGCAAGCATGACACATCGTGAATGCAAGTCATCAGAATTTGTTTAACAGAAGGCTCTCATACTTTGACTGTTTACCATCACGTGTAATTGACCATATTGTATCGCCATTTTCATTTGAACATTTTTAGTTATTTGACTGGCGGTTTTTTTTTGTATTCTGACAATAACATCTTGTGAACGCAACTCCTCTGATCTGTTTAAAAAGAAAGCTTTCGTACAAATATGGCAAGACACGAAGTTACAACTGCATGAAAGAATGAAAGAACAAAACCATTAACTGGAAAAAAGAAAATAATTGATTATATTAAGAGTTTATTAAACGAAAAAAAAACAAGTCATACCATCAATTATGGGCTAAGATTGTGAATTCCCAGTCTAAGACTGAGATACAAACCATTTGTGAATGTCCTGCTTCCGGATTGCCAAATTCTTTTTTGTTGAAATAAGATGTTGAAGGAATTTTACATTTTCCTCTCTACAATGATACATATATGACTCCATTGATAAAAAACGCGCAATCTACAAGTTAACGCACGCTGCGGTTTTTTTCTACAAAAAAAAATAAATGATGACAAATGATTGAACTAAAACATTTAATTTTTTCGGCTCGAAAGTCTTTCCTTCATCAAACTAATGCCATTGTTGAGAATCTCCCGAATGTCATATCATACAGAACGTAAGGAAATACAAAGGGGCAATTTCACAACTATAACTCGAAAAAACATGGCCTACAGAAAAAATAACTAGAGGCTCTTAAGAGCCTGTGTCGCTCACTTTGATCTATGTGCATATCAAACAAAGGACACTCTCCAACATTGTAGACGAGAATAGACTTCATGACAAAAATCTCTATTTTGTTGATCTTGTATTACTGATCTTTTAGTCTGTTTAATTTCTCTCTATCTTCTTTAGTTTTTGCTAAAAACACAAAAAAGGGTACAAAAAATCCTCATTTTAGGGCAATCCCTCCTATGACGAGTGACAGTCTGCTACATGTAACTATATCGGAAAAGTTTGACTTTTTAATAGATCTTGCCTTGCTGATCATTTTTGTGATTAAAGGTGTTTATTTATCTATTATAATTTAAATCATATAAGGCATAAAGTAAAAAAAAAATGTTTCTCTCTAAATATCATAGTTTTCATGATTATAAGCAAAAATGAAAAAAAATGGTAAAATTTGTCATTTATGTGCAATAACTCCTATAAGAATTTGTCTAACAGTTTTGACGTATAAGGACAATTGGTAGAGATCATTATTCTGAACATTTTTGCTCCTTTAAGATTTTCTCTATTTATAACGTTTAAAAAAATTTACAAACAATTGTCAAAAATTGACTATAAAGGGCAATAACTCCTTAAGGGGTTAATTGACCATTTTGGTCATGTTGACTTATTTGTAGATCTTACGTTGCCGAACGTTATTGCCGTTTACATTTTATCTATATCTATAATAATATTCAAGATAATAACCAAAAACTGCAAAATGTCCTTATAATTACAAATTCAGGGCAGCAACCCAACTACGAGTTATCTGATTTGTCTGAAAATTTCAGGGCTCATAGATCTTAACCTGATGAACATTTATACGTCGTTTCAAATTTGCTCTTAATGCTTTAGTTTAAGAGATATAAGCCAAAATCTGCATTTTACTATTATGTTCTATTTTTAGCAATGTCGGCCATGTTGGTTTGCAAGCGAGGTCATCGGACACATTTCTTAAATTAGATACCATAAGGATGATTGTGGCTAAGTTTGGTTAAATTTGTACCAGTAGTTTTAGAGGAGAAGATTTTTGTAAAAGATACAAAAATTTACAATAAATTGTTAAAAACTGACTATAAAGGGCAATAACTCCTTAAGGGGTCAATTGATCATTTTAGTCATGTTGACTTATTTGTGGATCTTACTTTGCTGTACATTATTGTTGTGTACAGTTTATCTCTATCTATAATGATATTGAAGATAATAACAAAAACCTGCAAAATTTTCTTAAAATTACCAATTCATGGGCAGCAACCAAAACAATGGGATGTCTGATTTGTCTAAAAATTCCAGGCAGATAGATCTTGACCTGATGAACAATTTTACCCCTGTCAGATTTGCTCTTAATGCTTTAGTTTCCGAGATATAAGCCACAATCTACATTTTACCCCTATGTTCTTTTTTTAGCCATGGCGGCCATCTTGGTTGGTGGGCTGGGACATCGGACACATTTTGTAAACTAGATACCCCAATGATGATTGTGGCCAAGTTTGGTTAAATTTGGTTCAGGAATTTCAGAGGAGAAGATTTTTGTAAAAGTTAACGACGACGGACGACGACGGACGACGGACGCCGGACGCCAAGTGATGAGAAAAGCTCACTTGGCCTATTAGGCCAGGTGAGCTAAAAAGGGGAGTTTAAGAACATTCAACACAATGCAAAAAATAGAAATCATTAAGCAAAACAACTCATACAATCAACGGTTGTGAACTTAGCTGCTCTGGAATGATTCGCAGTAAAAGGTATCAACTCACTGTACGTCTTTCGAAAACTTCAAATATGACTGACTCAGTGTCAGTGTCACAATCACATATATAAGGTAATAACAGACTAGGACTCAGTTTCAATTGAAATGACGAGTAACATGTAGGCAGTAAGTTAACAGAAGTCATTAAAACTACAAAATTTAATGAAAAATCAATTCAAAATTTGAGTTGAATAAAAAATGAGAAACCTTGCATTTTAGATATTACACATATAGTTGAATAATTTTAATCATCTAAATATCACATTTAATACATAAACTCATACATACATGATCTCATCCATTGATAATAACCGGTTATATAGACGTTTTCACAGTAAGTACTTTGAAAAAAGAAATTAATGAAATACGATTTAATATATCCTTGTGACATTTCAAACTAAAGCACACTTAGTATCAATATACAGTTTTCAACAAGTCAGGTGTCTGTGCAATTCGAAAGCTCGAAATCGACACGAACCTAACCAAAATAAGCTATAGGTAAACTTTAGAGGAACTATACATAAATATGCCAGATAGGTGTATGAAATAAATACTGATTTTATCATTAAGTTTTATTTGTCAACATATAAGGTAAACAAACAACGTTCTAAAATATATCAAAATATTACCACATTTATTAACAACAAATATACGGTAGACTGCCAACAACAAATTCGGAGTATGATTCAACACAACTTAATTTTCTCCTTCGTCGTCGTAATCATAAACGATTCCATGTCCATTGATTGTCCAAATACTCCCACATTATCAGCAGATAACGCTTGCTGGTATATACCATATAACTTAAATAAATACTTATATGATGGAAAAATTTCTTCTATATAGTTTCCATATCGAGTGAAAAAAAAACACACGCTTTTCTCACCCTTTTCATCGTCTGCCACAAACAAATTCACGCGTTGATCTTTGCAAATCTGACAGAACTTTGATTTTTTTGTTCTGAAATACGTGCTCTAATTGACCAGAGAAAGTAAATGTGAACAGTGAAGGCCATGATGAGATGAGAATTCCAGATACTGATGATGTAACAAACATGATATTAATTTTGTCAAGACAATTTGAACTTCGTCTCATTAAGTCGATACTAAAAGTATTAATGACTGCTTTCATCGTTGGTTCCGTAAAAGGTGAATACAAATGGATTGATTTAGCACCAAGAAAGTATTATTATCAGTGGTACAAGCATGCGTAAAGGTGATTTATAATTTTAAATATGTTTTGAAACCGGGTTAGATTTAAAAAGACACGAAAAGGTATTTTTCACTATTTGAAATGGTATGGTATATATTATGGCACACTAGCCCACTAGACTAACTCGCGCAATCCAACATTTGAAAGAACTACTGACATTGACAAATCCATCTGTTTAAAACTTTATAACTGTCTGTCTATTATTTCCAACACTGCTTTTTGAGCTTTATCAGAACAGACATTTGTTTTGAAAGGAAAATCAAGTTTTTTTATGTTTTAATATTTTTTAAGGCTTTAATGTTGTCAACAAGATATGAAGAAGGATTCTGTCTGACAGCGATAAACGAATTAGTCAAAAGTTTGTGTTCCCTTTCCATTTTCTTACTGCTTCATAAAGCTGATTGAGCTGTTTGAAGCTCTGTCAAGGCAGTTATTTTTTGGTCTGTCTTACCAAACTCCAACAGGTTATTGGAAGCATATAATAGCACACTGATTGTCATTTTAGACCTGGACAACTCATCCCTGTACGATTCAAAAACAGTCTTGTCTGCTTGTGTCATTCTGTTTTACTTACAGATATTTACAAGAGTAGTTCCGTCAATTTATTTTAATCGGTCAGATGTTTCTTTGATTTTCGCCCTTGTGTTTCTTATATGATTATCATTTTCCCCCTCAAAATGAGCTTTTGTCCCATGTACATTTACTCCATATCCTTTCATTTTCTATTAGGTAAAAAAAAATCGAGAAAGGGTAATCGTGATTTAAACGCTCTCGTCGCTGCGTGAATTGAAGTTCATGCTTTCGTAATAGTTGTTTGCAACGGTTCTGTTTTATGTCCTCTATGAAAACCTGCCAAGCAAATATTACAAATAGTTTTTGAGCATGCTTTACAGAATTCCCAAACCTGACGACAGTATTGATAATGCTCTTGACAAATTTCTCTATGGTGGCAATCTGCGTACATGCACTCTCCGTCGAGGAGGTCTCTTTACCATGTGTATCTATAGCGACTACGGTATGGATTTTGAATTTGTTTTGTTTTTTATGGTTATCATGACACTCTTTGCATATAAACTATATTTTGACAATTATTGACGCTTGACAATTTTCACATTTAGAAGAAGCAACATCTTGTTAATCGCACATTTGATACTGAATTTTAGATTGTTCATTTACCGAATTCGAGACAGAGAAGTAACGCTTTCACACAACGGAAATGCTATTCGATGCGTTGAAGGACGAACAGTTGACTGGTATAAGCACCGAAGACAGAACACATGGGTGTTATTTTTATATTTTAGGATTATACATTTTCGAATGACACAAACACTTGAAGCAAAACTGATCTCGCAGCCATTGTTGGTTATGACGCTCTCTAAATATTAAATAAATGATTGTATTTTTACATAGATTTATTGTATATTGTTGTTATTGTTTTCACTACAAAACGTCGTGATTACTGTGTGCATGTTCCAATAAATGAGCATAGACAAAATCGTTTGATTATGTTTGAGTTACAGGTTTTAAAAAGTATTAATCTATTCGATATAGATCCGTAGTGTATGGGCAGTCAAAAAGATTTTAACATTCAAAGTCAGCAGTTTTGTCTTTGTCATTAACTTTTTTCGTTAAATATTCTGTCTTGTTTGCTTTTTTCCTTTGTTTTATTTGTCTTGTACCATGCCAATGTGTGACTACTTCCTTATTGTCTATAACAGAAGCTATATTTCTAATATGTGTTTGCTGTCATCATACAAGTGTATTGTATATGTATGGAGAGAACTTAATATAACTTGCGTCAAAACATTTTGCTTGATTATTGCAATAAAATATTATTAAGATAAAAAATAATATAGGCATGTCAATTGTGACGTTCCCATTTAATGGTCAAACAATAATTGTAATATGGCAGTAAGGTTTGGATATTTAATGCATAATGTACATGTGACTTACACCAGCAGTGTAACTGAGACTGTTGTCGCTTCGCTCAGATATGTTTTGATCTTGTGGAACAATTAAAAAAGTGTAACTGAGACTGCTGTCACTTCGCTCAGATATGTTTTGATCTTGTGGAACAATTAAAATGTATTCTTGTGTGTTTCAATACATACTACTGTTATAAGGTTACTACTGTTTTGTTTTCAATTTCTGTTTAATCTGAAGTTAAAATATTTAATGAATAAAACAGTATAACGTATAGAAACTGTAAACATGCTTGACGATGATCATCATCATAGGTTGAAGCGCCATGTTCTAGAACTATTGAAAGTTAAATTTTAAATCTATACTATTAAACGAGAAGACCTCATTTTGTGTGTCGCTTCTCTTCCTTCCCCAATGAATTAATCATCATGCCTATAGGTACCATGCATAGTCGCATTTGTCATCCATTCTTATGATTATTCAGTTTGGGTTATTTTGGGAGAAAAAGAAAGAAAAAGGCGTCCGGATATTGTTTCCGTCATCAGACCAACATTTAAGTCATACCCAAGACTTCCGATTTTAAACTTTAAAAGAGGGGGTAAAGGGTTATTTTCGTGCAACGTGTTTTGCCACTTTTTATTTCACGTGCAGCCGTGAAAAAGGTTCGTTATTCACCGTGTTTCTTGAAATCGATAAAAAGATCAATGTGCAAGAAATTTTTAATTGTTCGCTCATTGTGAAATGGCAATTTTATTTCGCGTTCTCAGTCCGTGCAGATACCCCCCTTTACTCCCCTCTTTAAACATAATTTTCATAATTACGCGGAGACATGACAATTATTTTCGCGTTATTCTGCATGTATACTATGTTTATAATCCTAAAATATATAGAGACTCTCTATATAATATAGCAGTGATCGCCGTGGAGAAGAAACTTGGAAATGATAGTTTAACTTAATAGAAAACACACTTTATTTATATTATATGTATGTTCATAGCGGTCATGATGCAGAAACGCGAAAATCATTGAATTTAACAGAGAGCAAAAATATAACGGACTTTGGAAAAAAGGGAGAGGGCTTAAAATAATTGTCCAGTCTCCAAGTGCCTATGACTCAGTTTGATACCTTTTCTGAAATTCTCCAGACATAAAATCTTTTACAATAATTCATCCTACAACAGTTAACATACTTTCAACCAAGCTCTAAATACCCGCGATTTCGCGGGTGTGTTCTAGTTCATTTTGATAATTCAGACGTGAAAATATCAGATTGATGTTGAAAGTAAAAATAGTGTGATTAAGTATGAAAATAACCACAACGTGTGTCAGATATTTGAAAAATAGAAGTTTCCCCCTGACCATGCTGACGGTTGCATAAACATTTCTACGTTTCTGTTGTCTCAAAATTATGTTTAACCCTTACTAGATAATAAGCAGTTCGCTGGTCTACGGCAAGAATGTTTACAGTTTATTACTATTTTGATGTTTTAATGAACTCTCGTAAATTTTCGTACTGTACAATAACATTCGCTCTGTATGTGTAACATGCATTTTAATTGTTCCTTTATTTTTCGAGTGAGTTCACTTCCCTTAATCTTAACGGAGCAAGTTTATTACCTGAATAGATTTTTTAGTAAGAGCACTATCGAATCTTGCCGTTGACTGCTTCTCATATGACAAGCGACCAACAGTGGGATAGAAGATTGCAATAGCTGAAACTACGTCCTCTTTATGCATGCCTGTATTAATACATGTACTAATGAAGTAAACCTCGATACGACCATGTTAAAACATGATATAATTTATTAAGTTTGTCCAACCTTCTATTTAGCTGGACCACAATGTCAATACGCAATCATAATATATTAATTCATTTCTAACATTGTAATTTATATATTCTTATTAACTCTGTTTTATCTATTACAGACAACAGATTTCGACCAACGAATAAACTATTTCCGTCACCGAAGTAATTAGGAAGTCTTAAGGTGGACACTGGTTTCAAATCACCATCAACCGACAAAACACGCACTACTTTCGATTCGCGTAAGAATACAAATATTTTACCATCATAAAAGCAAACGCCTTCTGGGGTGTCATTTAAATCATATGTCCATTTGACGAGTCCATTTTGATTGACGCAAGAAATAAAACTGTTAGTTTTAGTTTGAATGCTAACTACTATAGTGCCATTTGGAAGACAACATATACTTTTAAGAGGCATAATAAAGGGATCGCCGAATTCGGTTGGTTCACAAAGAAAGGCTTCACTAAAATGTTTAAGAACATTTCCATCGATTTCAATGATGTCAATATGCGACGTTACCCCACGCGACCAATCAAAGTTAACTCTTTTTTTTGAAGCACCACTGGGACTTGAATGACATATGACTGCATACACATTATCTGGCAAGCGAGAAATATTAAAGTACGCATTTTCCGTTACTTTTTCGGTAATTATACTCAAACTTTTATAAGTTGATAAGCGGATAAGACGCGATTGTTTCCCAGGGGCAGTAAGTAAGACATCATCGTTTTCATGAATATTGGTGATGTCGTATACACCTGCAATCGAAACTTCATCAATGAACTGATTTTCGACAGTGTCTCGGAATCTTTGTACCTTCAAGTTTGCATTGTCTATGGCAATTATCGAATGTCCTTGAAGAATTAAACCTGTAAATCTTGCAGTAATTTTATTTTCTAATCCACTCGGTTCAACTTGAATCGCTAGGAACTGTTCAAGTTCAAATGCACGAATAGGTAAAACGTCTGATGAATATTTGATTCGCTTGCTGCATACTGTGGTCTCCGTATCTTCGAAGTCTAGTGTATCAGCTGGAACAACATGAACCGTTCCTATCGGTTGATCAACAAGTGTGTCACACAAATTCAGAAACTTTTCGTTAAGTTCAAGTTTTAGCTCAATTGGATTATCTGATACTCGAAGTGAATAAAGCAGATCCGTATTTTTCTGCAGACTTTCCGGGATTTTTGATAAAACGGTTAACATATCTTTAGTTGAAGTGAGGGATTTTGATAATTCTATTTCATCACGGAATCGTTTTAAACTTTTGACAATTCCTTCCGTTCTTTTCTGCAATTGTTCTACGTTTGTAACGCTATCAACTTTGCTCAATATGTCTAAACATTTTCGATTGATCATTTTCTCAAAATCTTGAACGATTGTCTTCAATTTGTAAACAGTATTTCTTATCTGCTGCCTTGAATGCATCAATAATTGATCTTTATCGGTCTCACTAGTGACAATGTCCTGTCCGTATCTGATTAGATTTTCTATTTCGTCATATGCATCTCTCAATTTTTCCCTTGCCAAATCTCTACATTTTTTAAAATTTTTGCAATCACAGTCGGTACTCCTATGATTCTCAACAGCACATTCGGAACATATAATCTGATAACATCCAAAACAGAAAAAGTCACAAATGTTTTGAGGGTGTTCAGAACATGGTATTCCATTTTTAGGTTTTATTTGAGTGTTGCCATCATCTGAGATAGCCTGTAGTAACAATTGAGCTAGATCGTCTGTTGGAAAGGAATTAGCCCATTCTTCTGCTGATACTGTATAAGATGACGCTTTAATCTCTCGTCTATCCACAGGACACGTGAATTTGTTAAAGCGTCTCGTTGATTCTATCAACTGGGTCAAACATTCACAGCATATCGAATGGTCACATGGTAATAATTTTGGGTCTTTTAAAGTGTCTCTACATATAGGACAAGATAAATGATCAGATGTTATATTATCTGCAAGTCTTCTCTGCATTCTGTAAAGAAATACAATTTAATTATTTAATTTAGAAATATTCCCGGACATAAAACAGCGAAATCCTCAGCTTTTAAAATCTTTGCACATAATACATACATTTCATTAAACAATACCATTACATAGAAGTTTTATAAGATTCCGTCATTTTGATTGGACGGAGCATACATAAACATTAATTGTATTTTCCCAAGATATGCAACATCTATGACTTCACGTGATCTACGTGCAACGTTTAAACAATGCATAGAAAAACAAACGAAAAGCCTAATAATTTCATGGGTAAAGAATAGATATGTAATTATTAAAGAATTGAAGGTTTCTTTTTGTGTTTTTAAAGGGTTGTAAAATTAAGAGTATAACGGTGCGCAAACAGTTAGTGTCTCATTGGCACTCATACCACATCTTCTTATATCTATAGTTACAAAATGTGATTCGGTCAAGTTCATTGGATGCTTTTGCGCCTAAAAAAAATAAAAAAGCAATACGTTCTTGAATAGAAATATCTTTTCTCATTTTGTTGAACAAACATAAAACCTTTAAGTTCCCGAATGAAATTGATCACAGGATTTGTAATTACGCAGAAGGACGGGTGCACATCTTGATCAGAATCTACCTACCCTGGGTACCTGAGATTACTCCCGGTTTAGGTAGTGTTAATGTTAGTCAGTCATTGCTATTATGCATGGTGTTTTGCAGACTGTTGATTTTCTTTTTTTTTAGCCATGGATTTGTCAGTCTGTCTTCGACTGATGAGTTTTGTTTTTCCCTTTTCAAAATTGGTACCTTCCGCCTCTTCTTTTGTCCCATAATTGAATTGAGATGTGTAGTGTTTTGTTGTTATTCGTTTCATACGTTTCATACTTTAGACTGGTTTTCTTTAAATTATGGTACTTATTTGCTTTCTTTTCTTTTTGTTTTACACAAGACTAATATATTTTTTTCCAAACTCGGGAGTATTACTTTTCTGCACACTTTGTAAACTCGGAATACGTTTATTACATATCCGTACAAAGATCACACTAATTTTCCGCAATCGTTGTGGTCAGTTAACCAATGTTTTCTTTAAAGATGGGTTAATGCATAATCATTGTATGTTTGTATATATTAGTTACCTGATCCTTCGAAAAATCAAGACAACAATAAAAATAAGATGTTCAAAGATAACCATTGAGACAACTATCTACAAAAAATCGACGGGCAAGGATATAAATACATGTGTTTGACAAAGTCAACTAATATTTGTGGAAAACAGTTGTTTCGTTTGAAGATCCTCAGAATAATTCCGAGAGTTTCTGAAATCCATTGCATGCACTAAATACGAGGCCCTTCACATGTTTAGTCACTTTCTTCCCGGTGGCAGTCTAGATATCCCGCCCTTCATCACCAGAAGACCCACGTTTTAGAACCTGCCTATTGTTGATTGTTCATGTCCTGACTGTGAATGAGTGAAATATATGCCACTGGACGTAAAAAAAAAGAAAACCATTGAAATTTCAGTAGTTCAAACTCCGTGTTTTGTTATAAGAAGCTCAAACATTTATCGAGTATAAAATAACAAATAAACAAAAGATAAAAAAAATTCCGACGTTTTAAGCTTCACGTATACCTTAAAAGTAAATTGTGCCAAGTTTAATTTGAAGTCATTCCTATGTAAATTAAAGAAGAATTTGCATTGACAGTCTTTCCTAACTCACAGAGGAAACCAAGTTGATATAAGAAAAACAATAATGTTGGAGACAAAAAAAAAGACTACATGACAAAATTAAATAAACTATATGGAAGAGATTGGGGCTGTTAAGCCTGTACAGAGTGTATATTAAACCAGGTCATGATTTCTACACGACAAAACGTCATCAATGAGGATTTTGAAAACTGTACGCTCATTGGTAACGATTTGAAAAGATAAATTTTCTGGCTACATATCTAATGCCTCGAGTATGGAGAGTGTCTTTGTGACTGCAGTTTAATGACGCTCGCAGAAACATTAAATTAAATTGACAGCAGAAAATATCTAGTGTTCACAGGGAGAGGGAGGGTGAAAACTTATTTTGTATATTAAATGTATCTTAACTTAGGTTTAATTCAATTTCAAAAAGACAGGTGGATACATGCTAAAGTAAGGTCAACTGGAATTTAGGTTCTTTATGCATACCATTGCATATTTGCACCCCCCTCCTCCTCCTAAAAAAAAAAATTAAAAAAATTTTTCTGTAATCAGTATTTTATAACCAATTCTTTTATTTCTAACAGTTATTCTTTATGCATTTCACCTCATTATTCCCTATTCTTTATTTCGTTTGTCCAGTTTTCTCTATTCTTTATTTCGTTTGTCCAGTTTTCTCTATTCTTTATTTTTAATGGCCATTATTCTCTATTTTGTTAACCCCGTTCAGACCCACATTTTGGGCCGCCTCTTACGGCATGGAGTGGTTCTTATCTTGCCTGGTGTGAGACTAAACTACTAACGCGCTCTCTTTTTAAAGTGATGTCAAATTTTCCCATCCTTCATTCTTCGTCTTAGTCGACCTACTTTCATACAAAAAAAAGTGGATGTGGTATGATTGCCGATGAGAAAACTCTCCACCAGAGATCCAATGACATAGAAGTTAATACACGATAATAATACATATCCTGCTTATAAAATAAGGCGATGTGGAATAATTGCCAATCAAACAATAGTACATGTGAATTTAAGCAATTTTAAATTAGTAGTTTTTGTTCTAAATATGCATGAACTATTGTACATTGGACGGTAAACAAGCAACAACAAAAAACCGGACATCTATTTCTCCTTTTTTTCATTATTAACATTCACTACTAGAAACAATAATCCTTTATTTTGTCTATTCAATATATAAACTGTACCTGTATATTATTATTTCTTGAAGATTATGATTAATGTTCTACACAAAAAAATGACAAAAATTATGTATTCTGATTTACTTACATAGTACTCAATGACTCCGAAGACCTTTGTATGATATTATTTTGTTTACGACTATTATCAATATTCTACACAGAGATAGACAAAAACTAAGTATTTTGATTTACTTACATTTTACTCAATGACATTCAGTGTATACAATAATTAACTCATTGCAGAATAAAAACTAATGTATGTTATTATTTCTTTAAGATTAAGATAAATTTTCTACAAAGAAATAGACAAAACGTTTGTATTTTTATTTAATACTTACATTTTACTCATACAACGTAAATTGCAGTAAGGAATTTAATATAAAATAATATATGGTACTACTTCTTTAAGATTAATATGATCAATTTTCAACATGAAAAAAAAAGACAAACGCAATTTAATTTTATTTACTTACATTTTCAATGCAGAATCGAAACTAAGTTTTGTTGAATATAGTTTAAATTTAGAAAATCATATGATTATATGACGTACATATACCATAAACACTTAAACTATGACCACAGGATTGTGTAAAAATATAAATAAAGTTGGGAAGTTTTACTTCAATGATTTAATTATGAATATAGGGAAAACTGCCAATACATATATCATATAATGTTTAAATGATTGGTTAATTTAAATACGAAATATATGTTAATTGAAGGTATGAAACATGTATGAGGAGAGACAACCCTTTAGTAAAAATATGGAATTATATGAATTATGTTGTTCCTTTAATAAATGTGTTTACTAATGAATCGAGAGAAAGGAAACCTGTCTATTCTCGCAATAAACTTTGGCTTTGGTAAACGATAAACAGTTTAATTTCTTTGGTAAAACTACTTTATCGTATTGAAGTTTTTAGAAACTTTTTAAACTTTTAAACTGTATTATTTGAAATTTGAATAACGACAGGATTCATGATAATTTATATTTCTAAGATGACAGGTTTTAGTCTATTTTATAATACCCAAATTTCACATTGCCGTCATGGTTCACATATATGTTTTTTTTCCTTAAAAAAACTATCTACCCCTATTTTTTGTTTCCACTGTCTGTATCTCTCCGCTCAGCTCTTAATAAAATTGCACATAACGGCTTTGCGACGTCAAAAACGTTAACCCGGCCTAAATAAATTGACTCGGACATATCAACGACATCATAATGAATGAACCGACGTTGATGTTTGACCCAAACTTATCAAGTCATCATCCGGTTTGCTGGTGAAACAAGAAAAAACACTTGTTTCTGTATTATAGATACAATGAATAAGCGTGGATTCTTGAAAAAGAAACCATGAGCCCGGAGGGCGAGTAGTTTGTTTTTCATGAATCAACGCTTATCATTGTATCTATAACTTAAACTATTGTGTTGATGTCTTTTCAAAATTAAAGCCTTTTCTTAATTAGAAGGCATTGTAAGCGAGTATAAATAACCCTGTTATCATGTTCAACGATGCACTAAAGTTCACAATTAATTGGTTAGAGAAATACAAATATAACATAACACGTCTGTCTTTAAATTATTATGCATCTGAATATTATCCGTAATTTACAAAATAAGACATATTCGAACTTATTTTTAAGTATATATAATAAGTATATTACCAATATTTCTAGCAAGAAATCTAATTCTAGGCACATCATAATTTACTAGCATAGGTATTTGCGAATAAACATTTGTATAGATATGTAGTAAAACAGATGAAATCATACTATATATATAAAACAAAAATGCACAAATTGAATGTTATAATTTTTTCAAGTACATGAATCAGTCAATAATAATTCAAAAATAAACGGGAAAAGCCGCTACTTTAACAAAAATATCCACAATAACATACAAAATAAGAAAAACGGAAAAACTGAAGAATAGGGACAACAAATTGAAAACAGGGATTCGAACCTAAACCGACAAGTCTCTACTTCTAACTTGACTCTATAACTCATGGATCTTAACCTCGCGGCTACCAAGTTATACTATACGATTGTCTATTATGTATATATAAAGGTACAAACCCTGTGTGTCCATTGTACCGATGTGTATCATATGATCATTTATATATATAAAATAGACATCTAGATTGCAATCTATTGGTAGCCGAGAGGTTTCATCGATGTGTTGAGGTCAGTCAGACATAACAGATTTCAAGGAGGGTTCGATTCCCAGTGAAGGCATATAAAAATTACAAAAAATAAAGGTAAGTTTTTAAATTAATTCCATTAGTGAACAGAAATCAGTAAATTAGCTAATTCAAATTTAATGAAATTAGGCACACAAAGGAAACAATTGAATATGATTTGGTAAGTCCATTTCAGCGACAGATTTAGGAAACGTTGATTCTAGAAAAAGAATAGGCTGATGTCACGGCAATGGTTTAAATCATGCAACATAACAAATGTACTAGGTTTAAGATTTCTATCATATTTATTTTGTAAAATATCAATATGCAAACAACCTGATAATCGGTACCTATCTTACGCACTTTCGTTTTTAAAATGGGTTCAATTTTCCCATCCTTCATCCCAGTCGACCTATACATTCACTAATAGTCTCAATAACAAATATCTATTAAATATATGAACCGTACCTGTATGTTCCTGCTTCTTGAAGAATATGCTCAATTTTTTCTATAGAAATAGACTAAACTATTTTATTTTGATTAACTTACATTTTAGACATTGACATTCAGATTATACAGTAAGGGTTGCAATGCAGAATCAAAACTATATATAATATATTATATATAATTATGATCAATTTTCTACATAGAAATAGACAAACACAATGTATTTTGACTTACTTACATGTTCAATACAGAATCGAAACTAAGTTTTGTCTGAATAAAGTTTGAATTAAGAACATCATATGATAATATTACGTACACACAACATAAACACTTAACACTATGGCCACAGGATTGTGTTAAAATCTATATAATTATAAAGTTGGGAAGTTTTACTTCACTGATTTAATTATGCAAATAGGGAAGTCTGCCAATACATACTTTTTATAACGTTTATAAACTGTTTTGTTTTAGATACGAATTACGTGTTAATTGAATGTATGAGGAAAGACAACCCTCGAGTAAAAATATGGATTATGAATTATTCCCTTTAATCAGTGAGTTTACTAGTGAGTCGAGAGATAGGACACATGACCTTTCTCCCGATAAGGTTTAGGCTTAGGTAAAAAGTGAACAGTTTAATTTCTTTCGTAAAACTATTACTCATAAGTTACTTAGAAACTTTTAATGTTATCTTTTGAACAGTATTATATGAATTTTGAATAACGATTTTAATCATGTTAATAGTCGGGTTTATTATTTTTCACTCTAGAAAATTTATTAAAAGCATGTGAGAGTGGTATTTCTTAGATGACAGTCTTTAGTCCAATTTTAATGCCCCCCCCCCCCTCCCTTCGCAACAAAGACGCAGTTGTTGGGGCCATATAGTTTTACCCTTATCCGTCATTCCATCATTCTGTCATACCGTCATTCCGCAACGAACAGTTATACCGACTTTTTTTCTAAACGCCTTCACATATTGAGCTGATATTTATAACGTAAGTCTACTATGATGGGCAACAGATCGAGAATACGTTTCGTTCCGGTCCGCTGATTTTTGTCGAAATTACGGGCTTTGGACTGTATAATTTCATGAATATAGTAGTTATACGGACTTTTTTACTAAACGCCTTCACATATTTAGCTTATTTTAGAATGTGAATCTATTATGATGAGTTACAAATCAAATTTACGCTTGGTTCCGCTCCGCTGCTTTTCGCTGAAACAAAAGTCTTTGAACTTTGAACATTTTGTGAAAATAACAGTTATACGGACTCTTTTTCTAAATGCCTTTACATGTTGATATAAAAATAAGGAGATGTGGTATGATTGCCAATGAGACAACTATCCACCAAAGTTCAATTGAAATGGATCAGATGTAAGCAATTATAGGCAACCGTACGGCTTCAACAATGAGAAAAACCTATACCGTATGGTTAGCTATAAAAGGCCCCGACATGAAAAATATGAAACAATCCAATTGAGAAAACTAACGGCCTAATTTATAACAAAACAATTTACGAAAAACAAATATGACAAACATGCACCAATGACAACCACTGAACTACAGGCTCCTGACTTGGGACAGTCACATAAAGAATGTTGCGCGGTTAAACATGTTTTCGTTTTAAAACTAGATGTGTCGAAACGACACGAATGGCCGTTCTTTCAAATAAAGCATGAAGCTATTTTTAGGAGCAGAAATTTGAGAATCAAAGTTTGTTTGACTGTTATTGTCACGAAATTTTCAAAGTCCAATGTCTGTAATTTCGTGAAAAATCAGGTGGGCGGAATCAAACGTAAATTCGATCTGTAACTCATTATAGTAGACTCACATACTAAAAAACGGCTCAATATGTGAAGGCGATTAGAAAAAAAAACCGTATAACTGTTCGTTGCGGAATTTGGGAATGACGGAATAGCAGAATAATGGATAAGGGTAAAACTATATAGGGCAATAAAAAGAAAAATCATACACATGCCGAATCTTAATAGAATAACAAAGGATATGGGGTATCCATCCATGACACAAAATTAGTTCACGCACAGCAAGAACACAAAAAAAAATACACCAAAGGAACATTATACCGTTCTGTTTTACCGATATTTCTAATCATTATACATTTCATTTCAAATCATCTCAATACATATCTGAATATATGAGCACATTAATCTCCATATCGCAGCCAAATAGTACAAATACATTTGTGAATTAAAGAATGTGATTAAATTCATACGACATTTTAAATATCATTATATAACAAAAAATGTAATTTCATGATGTCATGTAGTTGTATAAATGTTTGTTTGGTTCTGTACATGTACTTTTCAGTTAGGTTGACGGGCTATTTTTGTCAATATTTAAGATGTATTTGCGAAAAATAATACATTATGTGTTACATTGAAGATGCATTGTTCAATGAACAGAGGTAAAGTGAACATCATCCACCAAATATAAATAAGAAGATATGGTATGAGTGCCAATGAGACAAACTCTCCTTCTAAGTCACAATGTGTAAAAAGTAAACAATTATAGGTCAAGGTACGGCCTTGAACACGGAGCCTTGGTTCACACCGAACAGCAAGCTATAGATGGTCCCAAAATGACTTGTGCAAAACAATTCAAACAGGAAAACCAACGGTCTAATCTATAAACAAAAAAACGAGAAAGGAGA